AGCAGCTTCTTGGGGCCTCTTTGCAAGAGTGAGCCCTCATTTCAGCCCAAAGCTGGAGCTTTGAGGGCAGCTCTTGATCCTTCCATCTGGGCAGGTCTGAGCCCTCAGCCTGACGTACTCAGCACCGCAGACTGACCACACAGGCCCCGGGTCCCCTCTGCCGCTGCTGCGGCAGGACCCTGATGGCCTTGCGGTGGCTGTGGCTGCCACGCAGGCACCGCCGGCACCGTGGGTGCTGCTGGGGTGCTGCTGGGGTGCTGCCTGCAGGATTCACCCTCGCTAAAGGCGGCTCTCGGCTCCGCGCAGCCCGCACGGACCTGTGCGGGACTGCAGCCCTGAGCGGGATTTCTCCCCAGCCTGAACAAGGAGAAGGGGAGGGAACTGCTCCCCCTCGCAGTGCCATGACATAAATACAGCTGGTTCTAATGCTCGCCTCAATCATGGTTTAAAACAGCAAGTTGGATCAAGCATCATTTGCCTGATGTAGATGTTTCCTAAAAGGTTGATTTTTATGGGCGGTAACAGTGACATATTTTGACAAATGCAACATTTACGCTAAACATGGTATTTCTTTTTTACTAAGTAGATGAATTACATCTGTGCACATTTATTTAAGCAATTATATTGTTTAACATAATTTGTCTTTACATATTATTCTGGGAAAATGGTGAATGATGAGTCCGTGTTATTGTTTTATTAGATTATTAACGTTTTGCTCGTGATTTGTGTCAAGTTATATACGGATGGAAATTAGAATTCAATTAAAAGCAGTGATTACAGTTTATTCCTACTAATTAAAGAAAATGACCACTAGTACCCTGACTTCCTGAATACAGTGGAATGGGAAAAGCGAGCTTCTCCAAAAAGCATATGCATTAAAAACAACTTACTAAATGAAGGAAAGGAAATATATATRTATAAAAGAAGGAAATTGAACTGATTTTAGAACCCGATTTTATAACTAATAGATCTCCTCCCTTCATACCAAGCTTAATCACTCACTGACAGAGGAAAACAAATGTTCCTGCTTTTTCAAATCCTARTTTGCTTCTTAGTTTTGAATGACCTAGTTATTGAACTGAACAAAATTCTCTTCATTCACTCACTAAGCTGAAACGAAGGAAATATTATCTGTTCACCTTGCAGGAGGCTGAGGTTGTCAAAAAATTGTTTATCATTTCAACAAACTTTTCCTGCAGGGGTCCAGCCAGTGATGTCTCCATGCTTAGCTTCCTTCAAAGCTTCAGCAGGAATCAGATGCCGTTTAAACACTGCTCCTATGTAATTTAAGGGTCTTTCAGACATAGCAAATAAGGGCCTTAATATCAGTAATTATGATTTAATCTTGCCTATTTTAACAAGGAAAATAGTAACTCATTTTAAAAAAAATGAAAATTCTGACTCTATGACAAGGACAAGGCCTAGAGGAAAGTGAGATGTGTGGAGTTCCTGCTTTATAGGTGCTTTTGTTTGAAACATCATGAGCTGCCTGTCAGGATTTCTCCCTTTGGGTSATATTTGTTCCTGTAGGCAAGAAATGTCCATCTAGCTGAAACTAGACTTTCTCTTTACCTTTCCGATAGTCTTAGGGACCATCAAGTGGGCAAACACCCCTCTACAGCAGCCTGCTAGTAAGGAAATCACCTATGTAAGGAAGGAGGCCACATACGTAAGGAAGGAGGCCACGTAGGTAAGGAAGSCCCTGGTGCCGCCCTTCTGCTGAACAGAGGCTGGGCCAGCTGCTTGCACAGCAGGGGCTCTCACCCCAAACTGTTAATAGAAGTCCCCAGAACCTGGTTTGAAGCCACCTCACTGCCTGAGAGCCTCCACTAGACAGAGAAATTACCTGAAGATGGTGTTTGGTACTGGCAGTACCAGGCAGGGCTGCGCTGTAGGTAACTGTGGTACTAGAGACTGTCACTGAATAGCAGGTCAGGGAAGATGCCTGCCTTGCTGCCCTGATGTCATCTCCAAAAGGCCTCCTTGCTCTTGGCCTAGGACACCCTGCAGACTCAGGTGCTACCTCAAGCAGACCTACCCACGGCGGGTACAAAGTCTGTGCAGTCACCTCGGGATGAAAGATTTAGTTGCAGTTTATAAGGAAGTCTCCCCAGYTCAGGCTTCCCAGACAGAAAGCAAATATGACCAGCTCTTCCCAAAGCAAAGCCTTGGCGTCCTCAACCTGTAGAAAGGCTTTAGAGCCTCGCTGGCCCATGACCAGCTGGATGCTGCAGCGAGCTCCTCAGCTCACACAGCTCTGAGAAAACACCCTTCCAAAAGCCATCAAAAACATCAACAGTAGGTAATTATCAAAAATCACAGATAAGGTTATGTATCGAACAAGGTACTGAGGTGCTCAGGTATAGCCGATGCGGAATTCCCTTCATCCATCTCAGAGTTACACTGGGGAGCTAGAAGTGCTGCGTTATTTGCCTCATCCCAGCCCTGACAGAGGCCACGCGACCTGCCCAGTGCTGTGAATGGAGCCTGAAGCCCCAGTTCCCTCCAAGTCAAGAGCAGCTGCCATCAGCGGACACCCAGGACAGGAACTGGGGTCACAGCAAGCACTTGCAAGCAGCAATTCCCTGCTGGATCTCGCTGCACTATCCCACCTTGGGAGAGGGGCCTGCGTGGGAGCGCTGCCGGCCCCGGCCTCCGCCTTCCTCGGGAGGCAGCTCTGAGCTCCTCACCTTCCTGAAACCATTGCCCAGCCTCGTAGCCAAAACACCATGAATCATTCATCTTTAATAGATTATGCAAATAAAGGACATCAGATCAATGAAGATCAATAACTGCGACCATTTAATTGCCAGCAAAACCATTTTAAGAATGAGCATTATCTGCAGTCCTTTCTTGGGTAATGGCACCATTAATCCAAACGTTGGATCCTGGCCTAAGTGTAGAGGAAAAATTCTGCAGCCCTCTTCCCCGCCGCCTTTCAGGGTGTCGAGGGTTTTCTCCCCTTCCATTTCCAGTTTCTGAGTTTCCCCATCATTACCAGCAATGAGCAGCTCCTAGCGCTAATAGTTCTGCTTTTGTTACTCGGCGCTGATTGAAATGTCGCGTACAGATTGAGATGTTAGTGCTAAGTTGCCACCTGGGAACGTCAAGCTGGGTCTGAAATGAACTTTTCTCACTCTTGGATCCAGATGGATCAGATGGGGATGTTCCCAGGCTGAGCTGGGAGGATTCCAGGGCCTGGGATGGCGGTGGTGCGGGGTGACACACGGAGAGGATTTTCTGCCTCTGACCACAGCCTCTTCTTTAAGACTGAATCTGTCTTCTCCCCTACCCTGAGTCATCATGTCCCATACTTGGGCAGTATCTCCAGGTTTTGGGAATTCATCTCTAATGTTAACAGGCCAAAATGTACYGTTTCTCTTAGGGAGAAGGACAGGAGAGAGCAATTTTCACAGCCCCTTTGAATTTAAACTCTGTAACTTGAGGCACCTCACCTCAAGGTCCAGCTAAGGGGACCTCCTTCCATGAAGGAAAGACAGTCCAGCTGTTCTGGCTTTGGGAATGGGAATGTTTCCTGTGAGGGATGCAGGTCTGCTGTGTGGTAGAAGCTGGATTTTGTCTTGCGTGTGAGAATACACAGAAAAGTGACACAGTTTTGCCACGGGTGACCCATTTTCCCGGAGGGCGAAGCGGCTGCAAGGCAGTTCTGCACCCTCTAGGCACCCTCAGTGTACAGCAGCCTCTTGTCTCGGTGTGCAGTAACCCCCTGTGGCTCCCCGGGACACCCTGCACAGCCCACCCTGGCTCCTTGGTGGCTGGTGTAGCTGTTGCTAATCCCCCACGGGCCAAACTTTCTGGTGGCTCAATGTTGCATGCGGCACAGTCCCTTTGCAGAGTGCTTGCTGGACAAGCACCGCCTGCCTGCCGCTTCCCTGACCCCAGGGCTGCTGCCCGTTCATTTTTCCAAGCAAAGGCAGAGACAGGAGCTCCAGTGGTGTAGATTCTGCGCCCTCACAGGGCAGCTCTGTGGCCAAGCGGCAGCTCCTTCTCTGCTAACAGGACACGTCTCTGCCAGGGTTATTTCTCAGCTCAGCCTGGGCGCTTCGAGGGTGGGTGGTGTAGTGGGGCAGCTCACCTGAGCCGGGCAGCTGCTTTAGCTGCAGAGCGAGCTCTCAGCTCTGTGGCAGCTGCGCGAGCGCGAAGCTGTAGCGGCTAACACAAGCCCTGGCAGCCCCTTGGAAGAGGCTGTGGCCCCTGATTATCTCGTGTGGCCCTAGATGTGCCCAGAGCAGGCACTCCAATAGCGGTGCCGGGTTGGCATGCCCTGGGAGCCCAGAAAGCCCGTGCTCGCCAAGGCCCGCGAGGGCACCCGGCACAGAGGACGTGTCAATGGGGCGGCTGCTGCAGCCGCTGCCTCTGGTCTCTGCGCATCCCCTTCTCTGCTCTGGCTCTTGGTCTCGTTTCCTGCTCTGGCTTCCCGGTCACACCGGGGTTTAATGTGCCCGCGATCAGGGAAGGAGGGAGGCTGTGAACAAATTTCTTATGCCAGCTGCTGCTGGAGACTCATGGGCCCAAGGAAAAGGGAGGTTAGCAGTCACAGTTCAGCAGACTTCAGAATTTAACTTGCAAATGCCCCTTTCAAATTCCAGGGGTGAGTAAAACATAAATTATCATCTTTCCCCTAGAGCTCCAAGTGCAGATCATGGCTGAGCCATGAACCTCATGTTCCCAGACACCCGGAAGAAATCACAGAGCACATTGGGACGCATCCGTCCGCCGCCGCCATCCATCCCTGGCCACATGTGGGCACAGCTCCTGCTCCCTCCTGCCTTTCGCTCCCTCGGACTCATCCCTTGGCACCTCTAGGTGGCCCCCAGACCAGCTCCAGCTTCTCTGCACCCTTCCTTCCTGCACAGTCTCTCTGTCCCTTTCCACRTTTGCCACAGAGGGGTATCTTGCATTAGCAGAAAAAGCAGAAGCTAATGGTGATGAGGGAAATAAATAAAAAGCTGGTTCTGCTGTTTGCTCAGGCAGCTTACCGGTCACCACTGGGTATGTCTGGGGTCCTGACACGTTGGTCCCCAGGTCTGGGTTAGCAGAGGTGGATAGACTTGATTTGACTTCATCGAGCCCCGGGGTCAGAGCTGGGAGGGAGTACTCATTACCCTGGGGAGGAAGGAGAGAGACAGCTATTGATGGGGCGCGCAGATGGGGCAGGAAGAGCGGAGAGGCAGCCCCTGCACAGATGGGAGAGGAGGATGAGGAGGAAATGAGGAAGGCAACGTGGCGGGAGGGCTGGCGGGGAGGTCGCTTGGACGAGCTACTGCAGCGGCCCATGGGCTGAGGGTGTCTATGGGGAGAGCCGGGCTCAGCGCTGTGGCCAAGGGGGTGTCTATGGGGTGAGCTGGGCTCAGCGCTACAGCCAAAGGGGTGTCTGTGGGTCAAGCTGGGCTCAGCACTGTGGCCAAGGGGGTGTCTATCGGGTGAGCTGGGCTCAGCACTGTGGCCAAGGGGGTGTCTGCAGGCGGGCACCGTGTTCGAGGCCAGGGGAGTCCCCTATTCCACGTGGTGGCCAGGCAGAGGGAGGAGGCACCTGCCCGGGCCGGGGCCGCGGCTGCCCCGGGAGGCTCTGCCCCGCTGGGCCCGCTGCCGCCTCCCGCTGCCCTAGCGCCTTCAGAGCAAACAAAGGGCCTCATCCCGCCCCGCTCGCTGTGCACTGGGCTATGAAATTGGGGAGGGGGGAGCCACATGGCCGACAGAAGGGTGGGAGGGGGAGAGCCATTGAATCTGAAAGGGTGTCCTGTCCGAAAGGCTCTGGTAATTGCCTTTTTATTGTGGCAGCCTCCGGACCAGACGCGGGAGCGGGAGAAACCGGGAAGGCTACAAAACAGCAGGAAAAGTTGCTCTGATTAATATTACGTTAAATTAAAACTGATTTTCTGCTCTTTCTGCTCTGTTTTTTTCCATGCACCTCCCCAGCCCCCTCCGCGCGGCCCCCTGGCTCCGGGGGGCTCCCCGCGCTGCCCCCTCCCCGCCCCGGCCCTGCCTGCCCAGGACTGCCGAGTCATTTCCAATTCCTTCTCGTATTGATCTTCCTGTAGAAATCAGTTTTGTAATTAGCTGCAAATTAGGCCTTCTACTGGGGGTGAGCCTGCCCCCTGATTTATCACCAGAGTAATTCGCTGTGATCGGAGAGAAATTAAAATGAACTCAATTAGGCTTCGGATTTGCTTTATGGGCCCTGCTCAGAGTTTCAGGGGGAAAAATGACTGTGCTGGTGCTTAATAGTCTAATGAAAGTAAATAAAGGTTATTCATTGTAATAAACCCAGGGACTCTGGGATGAAGGGAGTCCACAGCCAGCCTCTCCTTCTCTTCCTTTGTTGGTTTATGGCTTGGGGCGGTTTAAAAAGACTTTTGATTTTCGTTTTATTAAGACAAACAGCTTTTGGGATAAAAGGCCAGCGAAGCGGGGGAGTGAAGGGAAGGGTGCAGAGCTGCACGAGTGGAGAAAAGTAGGTTGAAGGCCAGAGCCAGGGCTCGGCTTCGGGTCGGGAGGGAAGCTGCTCGCAGGCCCTTGCGCCGGCGCCGTGGCCGGGAGCGCCCGGGCCTCCTTGTGGGTGTCCRTGCGGAGCCGGGAGCRGGGCCGGGCGTTTGGGAAGGGCGGGCAGCCGCTGGGCACACGGGCAGCAGGGAGGACGAGCTGCCTCGTGCGAGTGTGACACGGGCACGACACAGCTCAGCGCAAGGACTGGCCACGGGGACAGCAGTGACTGCAGTGAGGGAGTCTCCCTGGCCTGGCCCTGCGGCTCCGGGGGGGCTGCATTGCCGGGCCGGCCCTCACCTGCTCAGATTTGATGTGCTCTGATGTTTGAAAGACGTCAGGGTAAGAAGGACGCTCAAAAACTCGATCTAAAGCTTCCAGCTGCTGCTGGGTAAAAGTGTCGGCACGAAGGTGCTTCCGCAAACTGTCCACGCTGCTCTGGGAATCTCCGTTGGGAACCGAGCCCTCGGATACATCTGCAGGGCACAGACAGAGAAAACGGAGTTAGCACCAGCCTGGCTGGGGTCAGCAAGGGACGGGGCCAGAAGGGAGCGACAGGAGAGGAGCTGCTGCCTGCACAGGGAGCCAGAAGGGAGAGCGGAGCGGAGCGGTTCGGCCTGCCACGGGGCTCCCTCTGCCGCCAGGGCCTCCTGCCCGGCCTCGCCGGCACTACAGAGAACGCTGCTCCGCTAGGAGATGAGTTTCGGTTCCGCTGATTTTCAGGAAAAGCCTCAGGCAGGGACAGTGCCCTCATACAGCTCGGGAGCRAGCGCCTCCCGGTTTAGCTCCCCAGTCACAGTGGAGCTTATGTCTCCGTTACGGTTTCCCTGCTGTCTGATCACATCCTGTCACATCCCAGATGAATCTTTCTCCCCCCACCCCGGATATCACAAGTGATCCCATTTCTGACTGTTTCACACAGACGAGTCTCTGTGGAGCCCTCTGTCCTATCCAGCATATGTTGGTTTCTGTTAGCATCTCTGCATGTWGCTGTTTATTTATTCCATCCCATATCTCTGTTATAAACCTACTACCAAAACAAGGAATGTGCCYGTCCCCCTTCTTATCCAAATCCCAGTCTCACACTGTGGGAATTGGAATCCAGTGTTTTAGCTAGGAGAAACACCTTTTCTGGGACAAGCAGCATCAGAGGTGCCTCTCTGTCATGCAGGAGCCCTTTGTCGCCGTCCAACCTCACTGCAGTGTCTCCTGTCACCTCCCAGGTGTCTCTRTCTCTGTCATGCCACCCTGTCTGATGTGCGAAGCCTGTCTCTGTTAGAGCCCACTCATCCCCTTTGAGGTGAGGCGAATCTGTTATAAATGTCCTGCCCCATCCAAAGAGAATCTTCCTGTGTGATAAACCATCTTTTCACCCATCTGTTTTTTTTTTCCTGTTATCCCCCAACTCAAATGAGATGCATTTATCTCTGTTATAACCCCTTCTTATCTGAAGTGAGCGAGTCGCCTGCTATTAGCATCTGTCACAGCCAAGGTGAGTCTGTCTGTTATAACCTCCTGTCCCAGCTGAGGTGAATCTTCCTTTGTCATAATCCCTCATCTCGTGTGAGGCAAATCTGCTCGTTACCATCTTCTCCAGCCCTGCTGAGTATCTTTCCACCATCACCGCTCGGTGTAACTTGCTACATAAGTAAGTAGGTAAGTAGGTACCTCGGTGAGTGTAGGTACCTACTGCCCCGCATCCGATGCATCCCGTACTCTCCGTGCTGCTCTACCTGTTGTCTTCATTGGACAAAGGTCTGACTGTCCTCTCACCCTGTGTGACCTACGACGAGGTGCTCCCTCCTGCCTGCTGCTACCTGCCGGCCTCCGCTGTTGTTCCTCAGCCTCTCCAGCAGCTTCCTGCCTCTGGAGCAGAAGGAATTGGATGTCTGGCAAGGAAGGGTTGAGGCTCCTGCCTGACCCTCTTCCCTGCGCCCCGTGAGGGGGAATGTGCCCATGGCAGGACGCTGCTCCCGCGAGGCTGCGTGGCGTTCCCTGTGGGAAGGCCAGGAGCAAGGCGCTTAGCCCATGGACAGGGCTGTGCGGGCTGCGTCCCTGGCACGCTTCATGTCCAACTGGTGGCCCAGAGTAATAACTGAGCCTGCTGCCTCCTGGCTATGAGATATATCCGTTTATAGGTGATTATATGATATGATATAATCAATAGTACATTATATACAGTAACGTAGTACAGTACCACTCACAAGACCATAGACAATATTACATATTGATTTGTCCTAGCCAGCAGCCTTCCCTCGAGCAGCCCCTTCTTTCTCTCTGGCTCTTTCCACCCCTAGCCAGAGTGGGGCTCTTAACTGGCACTGATCCCTGGTGGCTTCAGTCTCCTCAGGCTGATTCCCACAGGCAAATCCTGATGTTCCTGAAGGCTGCAGCACATGACAGATTTGACTAAGAACAAATAAAGCAAAGCCCAGCTTGCTGGAGTGCGCGCTGTGTTAGTGCTGACTGTGCTGTTGCTCGAGGGRTGGCTTTCAGAGGGCTAAAGTAACTTGGATCTCAAGCTCCTCATTGCGGTAGTCACTGTTTTCTGGTTCCCCTTGCCAAAAGCTGCCAGGGAACCGCTGGGTCCAGGATGGGGGGGAAATAATGTATCTGTAGTGACRCCTGCCCTGGTCTGCCTGCGCGCTCCTAGGGATGGCGCTGCACGTGTCAGCCAGTGGGCGACTGGGCCGCTGTTTGGGTGATACCCACGGGGACTTGTGCAGCCAGTCACTGCCCTGCTCTAGGTTCTGCCTCACCCTGTGAGCCCGAACAGCCCTTTGACTGAGGGGGCCCTGGTGGGTTTACTGGCCTTTCAGGCTGGCAGCCCTGCAGTGCGCACAGTGCTCGGTGTGCAGGGGCTCAAGCTGGCGCTCAAACTGCCTTGTGTTGTCATGAAGGCAAGTTTTACTGCCCGCAGCCTGCCCTGCTCTGCAGGCCTGGGCACACGGGTATTCCCAGCTCTGCAACCCTGGGCACATGGGTATTCCGTGCTCTGCAGGCCTGGGCACACAGGTACCGCCAGGGCACACGGGTATTCCCTGCTCGGCAGGCCTGGGCACACAGGTATTGGCAGCTCTGCAGGCCTCGGCACACAGGTACCAGCAGGGCACACGGGTATTCCCTGCTCTGCAGACCTGGGCACCCGGGTATTCCCTGCTCGGCAGGCCTGGGCACACGGGTATTGGCAGCTCTGCATGCCTGGGCACACAGGTACCGCCAGGGCACACGGGTATTCCCTGCTCGGCAGGCCTGGGCACACGGGTATTGGCAGCTCTGCAGACCTGGGCACACGGGTACCGCCAGGGCACATGGATATTCCCTGCTCTGCAGGCCTGGGCACACAGGTACCGTCAGGGCACACGGATATTCCCTGCTCTGCAGGCCTGGGCACACAGGTATTGGCAGCTCTGCAGGCCTGGGCACACAGGTACCACCAGGGCACACGGGTATCGGCAGCTCTGCAGGCCTTGGCACACAGGTACCACCAGGGCACACGGGTATTGGCAGCTCTGCAGGCCTGGGCACACGGGTATTCCCTACTCTGCAGACCCGGGCACACGGGTATCGGCAGCTCGCGGGCGCCGCGCAGCCCTGCGCACGGGGCTCTGCCTCGGCCCACGCCTTTGTGTGCAGGGGCTGCAAGCAGAGCCTTCCCAAGTCGCTGCAGGAGTCTCTTTCCCTTCATTTATTCAGGGGCCCTTCAGATCTTGACAAATCTGTCACTCTAAATTTGCGAGAGATTATGGTGCTCTCTCCCCAGCACGGAGAGAGGTGATATATGATATCTGCTGCCCCTATTGATTGCCTGATCTGGTGGCAGAGGGCTGGCGAAATGAACTTGAAATGAACATCATGCCTCAACTCATTGTGCGTATAATACACTACTTAATCCCACATTTTTCAGCCGCTATGGAATTCAATTGATCAATCATGTCCCTCTGATAGTACTGTTTTAGGGGTTATTGCTGCTCTGCTCACTGACCTTTTTTATTTATTTATTTATTTGTGTGAGGGTGTGCGAGGGTGTCTGTGTGCGTGTACATTTGCCACACTCGGGGCCAGCTGATGAGCAAGGTCCTCGTATAGCCGGTGGGAAATGAGAGGAAAAGATGATGGGAGGAGGAGGAGCGGCAGCACGGTTAGATGAAGAAGCAAAATGATCAAAGCAAGAGAATAGGCAAGCAYGGGTGGAAGACTTGGGAAGAGAAGGGGAATGAGCAGCTCGCACAGGAGGCCTGGGTCTGTGCGTGCACATGGTGACAGGCTATGAAGTCCTGACCTCGGCCTTTAAAAGCTGCAAGGACAGAGTCTGGGCAGAGAGCTGCAGGCTGTGTAGACGTGGCCCCTGTCGTAGCAGGCCTGRACTGAGGCAGGGCACATGAATCCCGAGCTCCCCACTGCCACAGGGTGAGCTGAGCATGCGGCAGCTACTGACAAAGCAGGGCAAATTCAGAGAGATGATCCTGAAGGATGGAGATTTATAGGTCTTGTACTGCTAGCGCTTCAGAGATTCACAGCCATGGATCAGTGTATTTCCTCCAAAAGCAAAGGAATGTAAATTCCCTGGTTATTTAGTGGTATCCGAACATAGAGAGGATGAGATTTCCTTTTTTTTTCCTTTTTTCCCCCAAAACTTTAAGAGCCAGAAACCTGCATCTGTTTTTAGGTCCAAGTTGCAGTGCGTATCTGCGCACATGGCTGGAGCTGCAGGGGAGGCCTCGGCCTCTGTAGCACCCAGTAAAGTGGGGGAGCRGGCAGCAGGGAGCCGCGGAGCCCGGCGAGGACACGAGGAAGGGCTGGTGCCCACGGGGAAGGGCTCGCCCAGCCTGGCAGCGCTGGCGCTGCGGCCTCGCCGCCACGTCCTGCTGCTGAGGGGCATTGCCGGGAGGAAAGGCGGCCTGCGGGGGCCTAGCAGGGAGCAGGGCTTGGGGAAGCTGCACTCGTTTCAGCACTAGGAAACACCATCGCTTTGCCCAGGTCCCTTTCTAGTGGCACGGGAATCCCCAGGATGGTGACACCTGCGGGGCAGCTCTCTGTTAAATCCGGSGGATTTGAGCGTGGCCTTGGTCCCCGGTGCCTGTGGGGCACGCAGGTGCTGCCAGCGTGGCGGGAGCCACCGTGCGTGGCGGGAAGCATCCCGGCTTCCCGGGCGCTGCTGAGGGAATGTGCAGAGCCAGGGCTGGCGGAGCCTTCGGCTCAGGGCACGGCGGCTCCACACGATGCATTGAAAAGCCGTGATGGGTCACAAGGAAATGCTCTGCCGGAGCACATGGAAACAACTGCAGCTGCGTCTGACACAGGGAATGTGCCAGTAAATAGCGCCAAAGGAGAGAGACTTGCAGGCCTGGAAGCTGCAGAGACACCATTGTGCACAAGTGGCACAGAGCACTGCAACAAATAATACAGTCCCCTCCCTAGCTCCAGGTGACAGAGAGCAGCCTTCCCAGGGCAGGCCCAGCTTGCTCAGCGGGTG